CCCCCCCCCCCCCCCCCACTCCTCAGCACATGGGTGCTGCAGCCCCCACGGTGTGGAATTGCCCCAGGATGCATGTGTGCAGTGGGAAGCAGGGTGTTATCACGGGGCCATGGAGCTGTCACAAGGGAGGTGGCACCAAGCAGGGCCTGTGGTAGGCAGAGGGGCTTCCTTGCAGGGGGGCAAGGAGAACCACTTACGGGTGCAATGCCTGCCGGATGTACCATGACCCGGCTGGGCTGCATGACCCTGCTCAGCTGCTGACCCCTGCCAGCCCTGGGCCCAAGGGCGCAGCCATGCCCAGGCCTCCCCAGGGACACACAAGTGCTTCCCATAAGACAAACAACTCCTGAAGAACAAATAACTTAACACGCTGGAGCGCGGGAGGCGAGCCAAGCTGGGGAGCATCCCTGCCAGCACCTGCCTGGCCCTGCCCACAGGGTCAGCCCACAGCCAGCTAGAGGCAGCCTCCAGTGAGGCAGAGCCATGGGGTTGCCCCAGTGGCGGAGGCCCCTGTCCCCAGTGCTGGTCCAGTGGTCCCCCGAGACCCTCCTGGGGCAGGCAGCTCCCCTGTGCGCCAGCAGCCCTGAGGGCAGGGGGCAGCAGGCTGGCAGGCAGGGCAGGCTCTAGCACTCTTTCTGCCGCATGCGCAACTCGTGGCGACGCAGGTGGTTGTAGAGGGACTGCACGTAGGTGAAGACACACTTGGCATCTGGCTTCTTCCCCATAATCATCATGTCTTCCACCTCCACCAGAGGCACGCAGTCCGCCAACATCCTGCAGAGACACAGCCCTCAGCACAACCATAGTTGGGCTGCCCCACCATGGGGGCTGGGACAGGGTCCCACTAGGCACTGCTGCCCTCAGCCTTGCTCAGCTTGGGCCCACCCCTCAGCACCCAGTCTTGCCCCTCCTGGCACTGGGAAGAGCACATGCTGCCTGCAATGGGGGCTGCCCACCTGCACCCCTCGCCATCCTGGTGCTCTCTACTGCAGCTCTTGGTGTTGGCAGTCATCCCCTGCTCAGGCTGTCCTACCCTCCTTCTCCTCCAGCTGATGCTGGTAGATTGTAGGGAGAGACCTGCCTGCCCATACGAGTCTGTGCCATGCTCGTGCCCTCCCCTGCTCCCCCCAGCAGGTCCAGGGCCAGACAGGGCAGTCCTGGTCACATGCTGCCCATTGCTCCTGCCACAAGCCCTGACCCTGCTCCACTGCCCATCAGCTGTGCCAGCCCAGTTCCCACCCTTGTCTCAGACTGGAGAGAGGGAGGGTACCATCCAGCTTCAACCTGCTCAGCACTGGCCTATGCCTACCACCTCCCAGGCTGGGCACCAGTGCCGTGTTGGGGTCTGTGTAGCTGCCAATCTTGGGGGGCCCTGGCAGAGCAGCCACAGCTGTCCCCCTGATCCCTGCAGCCTCTGGTTTCTGCTGCTGCCCCTTCTATGGGGAGGCAGCCCTGCTCTCATCATCCAGCTCCCTGGGCTGCAGGTGCTCTCTCTCTCCCCCTAAGCTGAGACTCCCTGGGCAGCCGTGGGTACTCCAACTTGAGGGGGCTGCCAGCACCGTTTGGGTAGTCACTGCAACAGCCAGACAGGGCACAGAGGAGACTTGACCACCTGCATCCTCTTGCCTTTCTGCTGGGGGGTGGTGGATGAGATACAGAAACAACTCTACCGCTGCTGCCACTCCTTGGCCCTGGTCGGGTCCCTGCACCCCCTTGGGCAGGGGACAGGTGGTGCCAGAGCACCCCAGGCTGCTGCTGCCAATAGTGGCTGATGTAGCCGTAAGTGCCCAAGGCAAGGGCTGTGCCAGAACCGAGGGGCTGCTTGGCACACAGCACACCCTCTGCTGACGCCATGGCTAGCCCGGCTGCTCTGGCCTCTGGGCCACCCTCTGGCAGGGTCTCTGCCCCAATGACAGGGTGCACTGAGCAGCTCAGAGTAGAAGGAGGGTTTGCCCACCACCATCACACCACCACCCACCCTGCCCCAGGCCCTCTTCCCATCTCCCCAGGCTGCAGTAACCCTACTGCACACCCCAGACCCGCAGCACAGCCCACCCCAGCCCCCTGGGGAGCAGCAAGGCCAAGGAAAGCCACCCGGCCCAGGGCTCTGCCAGGACCTTGCTCCTGCACCCTGCCCCACCAGCTCTCCCCACAGGGCCTCTGCTGCACTGGAGTCAAGGGAGGCAATGGGTCTTCTCTGAGCCCATGGCACCGGCCCCCACCTCATGATTTGGCCACCCTCGGGAGAGGGAGCCCTTGGGAAAGCCCCTACCTGAGCTCCAGAGGCCCACCACCACCACCAGCCCCAGCTCAGGGGGTGATGGCAAAGCAGCAGCAGCACAAGGAAAGCAGCTCTGCCCTTATAAAGCCATTGTTTGGGTCCCGGTGTGCTGGTGCTGGGTGGAGCCTGGGGGACCAAGGGCTCCAGAGCCAGCTGGGATGCCCCTGAAGACAGACACAAATACTGCAAGACGAGACAGGACCCAAGCCTTGACTCACACTTTCCAGGCTCCCTGCTCTTGCCCATATATGAGCAGGCAGCGCCTTGCAGGCAGGGCACCATCGCCCACGCCTGGCCCCGCAGCAGGGGCTGCAGCTCCCCTCCAGCTGCAGCCGGCAGTCCCCGCACACCTCAGGACAGGGGGAAGGACTGAGAGGGGGCAAGTGTAAGCAGTGATGCTGGGGCATCCTGGGGGGACTCACCCCACCCAGGCAGCACCGCTGAGGCTCATGCTGCTGCAGAGCACCCAGAGTGGCGTCCCCAGCAGCTAATTACCTGGCTCAGGCCCTGCCCGTGGGGAGGGAAGAGCTATGACAGCTAGTGCCATCCCTGTGGCTGGAAAGCAAACAGCCCCCCAGGGTGACAGTCCCCTCCTCCCCAAGCCCCATGGGTGCTATTCTAGAAGGCCAGAGGCCAGGTAGCCACCTCCACCCCTTTCCTGGCCCCACCAGCCAACACTACCAGGACTCGTCCCTCACCCACCGGCATCCCCCAGCCTCTCCCCGAGCTGTGGTGGCCACTCCCCGGCCCCTTGGCCAAGGGGGGGTGGTGGGGCACCGGCAGGTATTTGGAGGGGAAGGTTCTCACCATCGCTCCCGGGGGGGTGAAAATGGGCTACGACTTTTTGGTTTTTACCAGCCCCTTCTGGACCAGGCACCGATAGAATTCCTGAATGTATGTGTACACACACTTCCAATCCGGCTCGCGCATCCGGACCATGTCCTCCACGTCCAGCAACTGCGGACAGTCCGCGTGCTTCCTGGGGGCAGGGAGAGAGAGGGGCAAGCCAGTGACCGCAGCCCAGTCGGGGAGGGGAGGAAGAGAGAAAACAAGAGACATGGATCAATGCAGTTCCCGTCCCCCACCCCGGGCAGATGCTGCTCTGCTCTCGCATGCTCTTGAAGATGCACGATGCAGGGGCAGGAGGGCTCCAGGCACCGCCGCGCCAAGGCCATTCAGTGAGATCTGGGGGGGGGCATAAGCAAGGGAAGGGAAGGGTAGGTGAGCAGCGTGGAGAGGCGTGAGGTCTAGAGGGAAGGACAGACAGAAGAGGAGGAGTGAGGTGTTCTGGCACGCCAGGTGCTGGGGGAGCGGGTTCCAGAGTGGAGCGGCGCTCTATATAGCCCATATATAGACCCGCCGGGAGGATGGGGTCGGTGAGCCCAGCCCTCCTGCCCAGCTCCACTTGGAACCGCATGGCACAGTCCTGGTGTAGGAAGCTCGGGAGAAGATGCTCACAAGAGCTGGAGGAGGAGGAGGAAGGACGAGAGGCCACCTGGATTCCAGGCTGGAGAGATCGATGGCTCTCTCAAGTCCACGCACCGGTTCCCCAATTAAGGCAAAAAGTTCATTATCAGGAGCACCAAGAGCCAGGCACATGGCCCCCTTCTCGCTCCACCAAACAGCACCACAGCACTGAGGGAGCTCATGGGAGCTCCCAGCTCACACCACCGCCCCGGGCACTGGCTGGGATGGAACCCCCACCTGCCCGGCCCTGCCCCTGGGCAGGGTGCTGAAGGGGAGGAGGAGTGGGTGGGAGAGAGACAGAAGGAAGGAGAGAGGGGCTGGCTGCCAGCCCTCCAGCTGGATGCACTCCCGTCTCTCAGCACCCAAGAAAACCAGAAGCAAAAGGGGAAGGGAAGAGACTGGAGAAGCTGCAACGGTGTTTGAGCTCCTATGACTGTGACAGGAGGCACCTGGCACAGACAAACCCTGTTCCCTACTCTCCAGGGGCTGCAGTCCTGCATCCAGCACACCAGGATGGAATGTACTGCCTGTGGCCAGGGAGGCCTGGAGAGCTGCTGCCCTGCCTTTGGGTGCTCTGCCTCCCCCCCGGAAAGCACTGACCCCCATGCCCACCCTTGCCACACCAGACTGGGCTGCGCTGGCCTCTCATGGCTCTGTCCACACAGCCACTGCTTTCCCCCTGGTGTCCAAACCTTGTTGCATGACATGGAGGAAATGATGCTGATGGGGACCTGCCTCCAGTGCCATTGCGTCCCTCACGCTGGGCAGCGAGCGGGAGAACCACCCCACATGCCACCCTACGCCCTTATGATGGCATAGGAGCTACGTACTCTGCGGAGGAGAAGGCCACCTCAAAGTTGTGGCGGCGGTTCTGGGGCGTCAGCTGGCTGTAATCAAATGCCTCGGGGAAGAAATTGTGGACTAAGGCGCAGAAGGCCATGCCGTCACTCCAGCTGGATGAGAAGTTCTGGATGTCCACATGCTGCAAGGGCAGGATAGTTACCGAGGGGCAGAGTGACTGGTCCTAGGGAGGGGAAGAGGAGGTGGCACTCACCTCATAGCCTCGGGTCTTGGCTCTGCACCAGTCCAGCAACATCTGCTTGATGCTGTTGGCGTTGGGCACACCAAAGCTGGAGGAGCGCTGCACAGCAGTGCGTGCTGCTGCAGAGTTGGGCGAGCTGCAGCAGAAGACACAGGGCATTATCCATGTGGCACTCACCACCCCAGCCAGCCTGTCCCTGGCCCAGCCTCACCTCCCACCCTCCTTCTGCAGCTTCTCCATCATGGCCTTGCGAGCCTGTGAGGTCGATGTCTTGGGCAGGCTCTGAGCTTTCATCAGCTCCTTCTTCTTCTCAGCCTGGCGCCGCTCCAGCGCGGCCAGGCTGCTCTGCCTGGAGGCGCTCTCATCTTCACGGTCGAAGATGCTGGGAGAGAGACAGATGAAACTAAGGGGACCGCATGCAGTCTGGGGAAAGGCACATAGTGGCCTCAGCCCATTGGCAGTCCTGGTGCTTCAGAGACCTCCATGTCCCTGAGACAGAAGCAGGGTGGCTTAAGGGTCCCAGCTACCAGACACATCTCCATGCCCATGGAGGGACCCAAGGGGACAGCTGGAGACAGCAAGTGTGCCCCAATGACCAGGAGACTTTGGGGACATCTCTGCAATGAGCACACTGCAAGCTGGGCAGATGCGTGACAGGGACTGCTTGGGGCTGGCCCCAGGGAGGCACCACTGCTCACCTGCCTGTCTTCTTGGAAGAGGAGCTGTAGGATGATTTAGTTTGAACGAATGTGCTGTTGCCATCTGCACAGGGAGAGAAAGAGAGCGGCCTTGGGCAGGAGCTGAGGGAAGCAGTGCCTGGCTGGTGGGAGGCTCTGCCCACACCAGAGGCAGGGCCGGCTTGAGAGCAGCAGTAACCCTGGTGTTATGCCCAGAGGATGCTGCGGGGAAAGGGCAATAAAAGCTCTTACTGTCTGATCTCCTCACGTAACTTGACTCCATGGTTGTGGTACGGGAGGTCTTGCTGCCATCACCTGCAGGGAGCAAGGCAACGGGGGATAAGCTGTGTTCTGGGGCGTCAGCTGGCTGTAATCAAATGCCTCGGGGAAGAAATTGTGGACTAAGGCGCAGAAGGCCATGCCGTCACTCCAGCTGGATGAGAAGTTCTGGATGTCCACATGCTGCAAGGGCAGGATAGTTACCGAGGGGCAGAGTGACTGGTCCTAGGGAGGGGAAGAGGAGGTGGCACTCACCTCATAGCCTCGGGTCTTGGCTCTGCACCAGTCCAGCAACATCTGCTTGATGCTGTTGGCGTTGGGCACACCAAAGCTGGAGGAGCGCTGCACAGCAGTGCGTGCTGCTGCAGAGTTGGGCGAGCTGCAGCAGAAGACACAGGGCATTATCCATGTGGCACTCACCACCCCAGCCAGCCTGTCCCTGGCCCAGCCTCACCTCCCACCCTCCTTCTGCAGCTTCTCCATCATGGCCTTGCGAGCCTGTGAGGTCGATGTCTTGGGCAGGCTCTGAGCTTTCATCAGCTCCTTCTTCTTCTCAGCCTGGCGCCGCTCCAGCGCGGCCAGGCTGCTCTGCCTGGAGGCGCTCTCATCTTCACGGTCGAAGATGCTGGGAGAGAGACAGATGAAACTAAGGGGACCGCATGCAGTCTGGGGAAAGGCACATAGTGGCCTCAGCCCATTGGCAGTCCTGGTGCTTCAGAGACCTCCATGTCCCTGAGACAGAAGCAGGGTGGCTTAAGGGTCCCAGCTACCAGACACATCTCCATGCCCATGGAGGGACCCAAGGGGACAGCTGGAGACAGCAAGTGTGCCCCAATGACCAGGAGACTTTGGGGACATCTCTGCAATGAGCACACTGCAAGCTGGGCAGATGCGTGACAGGGACTGCTTGGGGCTGGCCCCAGGGAGGCACCACTGCTCACCTGCCTGTCTTCTTGGAAGAGGAGCTGTAGGATGATTTAGTTTGAACGAATGTGCTGTTGCCATCTGCACAGGGAGAGAAAGAGAGAGGCCTTGGGCAGGAGCTGAGGGAAGCAGTGCCTGGCTGGTGGGAGGCTCTGCCCACACCAGAGGCAGGGCCGGCTTGAGAGCAGCAGTAACCCTGGTGTTATGCCCAGAGGATGCTGCGGGGAAAGGGCAATAAAAGCTCTTACTGTCTGATCTCCTCACGTAACTTGACTCCATGGTTGTGGTACGGGAGGTCTTGCTGCCATCACCTGCAGGGAGCAAGGCAACGGGGGATAAGCTGCGGCTGAGGGCAGCAGCACTCACTGCTGCCAAGCACCCTTGAATCCATATAGCGCAACAGGGAGAAGTCCCAGGTGGCAGAGCCATAGCCGGAGTATGGGCAGAGGGGCGACAGATGGCACATGCCCCTGATGCAAAGCAAAGAGGCCAGTGCAAAGGAGCAAGGAGCATCCCTCAGCCCCCTGCAGTGACTCTTGGCTTGAGCCACCCAAAGACTGGGAGAGCAGAGGTATGGGGGACAGGAGACAGGCCCAAGGTGCAGACAAGGCCCCTGCCACTCTGATGTGGCAGAGGATCAGGTGGGAAGTTGCCAGAGCAGATCCCTTAAAGATCCCCAGGCAGGCTCTCGGCAAGCCAGAGGAGATGCAGTAAAACCAAGCCCTGGACCACAGTCCTGCTCCCAGCATTGTCAAGCCAGACCCAGGACAAGCATTGAGAGCAGCAGAGAGAAGCTGCAGTGGCAGAGTACTGGGAAAGACGCTGCACAGCCCCAAAAAGGGCAAGCAAGCACTGCATCCCCCCAGCACAGCCCATACTAGACTGGATGAGGCGCTCAGTCTTGGTGACGGTGCTGCGTGCCGAGCCATCAGCTGACTGGGTGCTCTGGGTGGTGGTGGTCTCCGTGGTGTGGCCAGGTCTCCCTGCTGTAGCCTGGCTCCTTGTCTCCTGCAGCCGCTGGTCCCGCTCCTTCTCCCGCTGGTCTGCAAACACGGGTGGGAGACAGCATCAGCAAGAGGCAGGGGCAGTGGACACAGTCCCTACTACGACAGGGGCCCTGCGGGCTGCTGCCAGTCCAGAACTGGCTCGTGGGAAGGATGATGTCCTCAGCTTAGCACAGCCAGGGGAGCAGAAAACCCAATGCACCCTCCTGCTTCACCACAGCCAGATGGCCCCACTCCAGCACCCTGCCAGCTCCACCTGCAACGCCTCCGCCAGAGCCCCTACCTGGGGTGGGGGTCACCATCCCCAAGTACCTCGCTTGCGCTGGCGCAGCTCCCGCATGGCATTTCGAATCAGTCGCCGCTCCTCAAAGTCTGTTGTCTGATCCAGCTGCAGGAGGAGGCGGAGGTCAGCACCACCCTTCTGCCACCAGCTCAGGCTCCCCCTTGCCTTTCCCCAGGAGCCCTAGCTGCAGAGGAGGTACCATCTTATCCAGAACATCTTCATCCTCGATTCTGCTCAGTTCCTCAATGTTCAGCTTGCTCCTTCTCTCCAGCTCCCTCACTTGGACTTTCTCCATGCCATTGGGCAGCTCTGGCTCCAGCCTCGGCACCTGGGACTGCTCCACCCCCTTGGGCTCCATCTACAAGGACAGCACAGTGTGACTAAGCCCCCACCAGCTTGGCTACCCCCCAACTCCTCCCTATGCTGCTCAGGGTCCAAGTTCCCCAGTGCCCTGACACTTGCCCAGTGCCACAGGCAGTGGGGACCCTGAAGAAAACGTGCCACATGCGACGCAAGAGCTCACAGATGGTGGGACGGTGCAGGCATCCACGGCGACCAAGTCAGGCAGGGGAGTGTGACACCCCCCTTGCAGCACCCCCTGCCCTGGGAGGGCCTGGCAGTTGCTGACCTGCTCCCAGTCTCGCTGCCAAAATGACCCCAAACACTCCCCAGCCCCCATCACGGCAGGCTGATGGGGCCCTCCAGCAGGCAGGGGCTGCCTGGATGTTCTAGGCTGGGTAGTGCCTGCTGCCCAGCAGTGGGCAAGGTGCTGGCAAGGCCAGTGCGTGCCCTTAGCAGCACAAGGGATTTCCAGGGAATTAAGGGACTTAACAGAGAGAAGAGCTTGTGCAGGAGATCAAGAGCCTCCCCCGCATCCCTATTCAGGATCTGGGCCAGCTCGGCCCCCACCAGAGCAAAGCCAAGTCCCTTTCAGCACGATCCCCCAGCAATGTGTGGCAGGCAGCGGGCCAGGCCCGGAATAGGGCAGGGAGCAGCAGGCAGGAGGTGCTGGCATTGGGCTGAAGCAGCTCTGCCACACACCTGGCCCTGTCCCGCGTCCTCCTGCCCTGAACCAGCACCTGGCCAATGGCAAAGCCACTGGCAGGAGGTGACTCCAGCCATGTGCAGCCGTGCCACCACCTGCACCTCACCACTGCTGTGTCAGACACAGGGTGCAGGACAACTGCCTGCAGGCCGCCTGCCCTCCAGCAATGCAGAGCAGGCAGACACCGTTTGTCCACCACAGCAGTGAGCCCAAATGGTGGCAGATCCCAGTGACACTGCATTGCCTGTGCATGGCAGCCATGGTCCCACCTCATGCCAGGGGCTTCACTGTGGCTCCAGAGACCCTCAGGGCTGCCAGGAGCCCCATGGGCCAGTGCCACCCACCCTTCCCCCCCCGCCGGGCGCTGCCGTGGGGCAGGGCTGCCCACACTCACGCCACTGTTGCTCCGGGAGAGATGCAGGGTCGATTGCTGACGCGTGCTGGAGAAAGTGGGTGGATGGGCCACGGGGCCACTGGGTTCCTCAATGCCCTCAAAGTGGGCGCAAGGGTCCTGTGCTTCCAGAAATAGGGTGCTGAGGTCCTTCCTGGGGGGCTCCTGGGGCCCAAGCCGCAGTGTCAGCAGGTCGAGGTGGCAGCCCAGGCGCACCAGCTCTGCCCGCAGCTCCAGGTGCTCCTCCTCCAGCGCCTGCAGCGCCCGCACCAGGGGCTGCACCTGCTGCAGTGCCTGCTCCAGTTGCTCCTCCACCACCCCCCAGAAAGCCCCCAGCTCTCGCCGCAGCTCCACCAGCTCAGCCGCCCTGGCCTGCACCAGCCCCTCCAGGCCGACCCCTGGCATGGCGGCAGTGCTGGTGCCAGCAGACGCTGCAGCGAGCCCCGCTCAACTGTCCTCTGTCCTTTATAGGGGTGCTGGGGGCACCACCCCCGGCCGGAGGCTGGCCTGGCACGGCTCCGCGCCCACTGGGCTATTCTTGTCACAGCTGCTCGGGGTCCTGCACAGGGGTGCCGAGGCAGACACTGACACTTGGCAACACTTCCAGCTCCAGGACCAAGTGGCTTGGAGAGGCGGCCCCCCCTTCTCTGGACAGCTGCCAGCACCCTCGAAGCCAGCCTGGGGGGGCTGTGGGGCACAGCAGGTGGGGTAAAGCCCCCATGCAGGATCAGCCCCCGACCATCGTTATGCTGGGTGCACTCCAGGGCCAGGGACCACCCACACATCCTTTCGTCTGAGTGCCCTTCTGCTCCTGGCCAGCATCACCCACAACACACCGACAACCAGGCTGACACTGGCGTGAAAGCCTCAGCCACCAGCTATGATTTTTGGGGGCCTCTGTCCCCCTGTGTTGCCCAAGAAATGCCCCAGGTCCCCACACAACGGGCATAGGCAAGACCCCACCAGCGAGAAGCCATGCTGCAACAGCCTCTGTCCCCACAACCCCATACCCTGCCAGTCCCTCCAATCGACCCTACCTGGCAGGGCTGCCAGCACCACTGCCGCTTCCTCCTCCTCCTCCTCCCTGCCCGCTGGAAACACACCTGCCAGCCGTGGCTCCCGCTAGGCAGTCAATGGGTGCTGAGCCCCCAACCCCACCAGGCAGTGCTGCTAATACCTTAATGAGAGCTGACAGGCTGCTCGGGACAAGCCTGTCCAAGCGCATTAGCATGGGGAAGTCACCCCTCTGCATGCGGTGAGCTGCCCGTGGGCAGTGGGACCCGCCAGCTAGTGCAGGCAGCACTGGAGGGCAGCCCTGCCAGGCTGCAGGCACTGCCTGCTTCATGCTGGTGGGGGTTGACCCAAGGACGAAGTGAGCCAGCAGTACCACAGCCACCGGTGGTGCCGTGCCCACAAAGGCAGCTGGGCGCATGCAGGGCCACGAGTGAGGCAGCGCCATGACTGACATCCTGGCTCCTGCCAAGGCCCCGTGTGCGAGCGCCTCACATTACCCTAGATGGGCAGAAGATAAAAGCACTCGAAGGGCTGCATGCACAGGGCTGCCTCCTATACACACCCAGCACCCCTGCCCCCAGCACCCAGGGGGGCCAAGAATCCCTCAAGCCAGTCAGGCTGGGTTCTGCTGCTCTGCTCTTGGCTCAGGATTGCAAAGCAGGAGAGGCCAGGATCTCAGCCTGTGTCTTGACGGTGGGTCAGAGACCTTCAGGAAGATTCCCCCCTTACGCTAGGTCCCCAGCGCCACAGTCAAGATCCACTCCCAGGAGGGAAAGCAGAAACGGGTGGTGATGGGCTTTTCCCTGAGCTGCCACCAGCCTAAGAGGTGTTTAAAACAGATGGAAACCCACAAAAAGCTCCCCCCTCCCCACCCCCAGCCCGCGTTGACATACAGTGCAGGGTAGCACAGTACATGGGGGTTCATGTGGCTGGGGCTATACATCCACACACAGACCCTAGGGTCTCTCCCCAGGCTGTAAAGAACCAGCCAGAGCCTCTGGACTGTACTGTCAGCACCCACCTGCCCCACCATGGGTCACTGCTCCCAAGCCCAGCACCCTGAGCCGGTGCCCACATCAGCCATGGCTCCACATCACTCAGCCCCTCTGAGCACTCACCTTGGTGACATTACTGCTGATGCTGCTGACGCTGCAGACGCTGCCACCACTGCTGGGGATGGTGGTGATGTGGATGGGAGTGCCCCGCAGCCCCAGGGTCACCTCTGCAAGAGGAGCAAGGGGAATGTGGGGTTTGCCCCAGCCCGGCAGGCTCAGCCCTGCGCCTGGAGATCGGCTCCGGCTGGGCTGCCTGGCTGCCGCACGCATCCTGCCTCAGTGGCAGGCACTGAGCTCTGGCACAGGGGAAGGGCTCAGGGAACAGCCAAAAGACGGGGAAGCCAGCCCCCTCTTGCCATGCCGGCTCAGCCCTTCTCCCCAAGAAAGGGCACTTTCCGCAACACTCCAGTTGGAGCCAAGACCCCCTGGTGCGAGGGACAGCCCCGGGAACATCACGAGCCAGCCACAACTGCCAGGGAACAGGCAGGGCTGGGTCAGGGACAGGGCTGGATCAGATGCCATGTGGCAGTGGGGGTGGGACAGAGCAGGACCAGTGTGGACTCCCCTGGACCAGCAGGTCAGTGGGGACAGAGCATGAACATGGGGCAGACAAGGGGGCAGAGCCGTGGGGATGGAGAAGGGACCCTGGGCACAAAGGTGACAGGAGGGTGGGGATGGGGGCAGATGCAGGGCCAAATGGCCTCCCAGTACCGAGATGCCCTGAGCAGGCTAAGCATCCCTGCCAAAGGGCGAGGGCTGCCAGGAATGCTCCTGCCCACGGCCTCTACTCTTCTGGCAGTGCCCACGCTCAGCCTCCAAGTCACCAGCACCCAAATGCCACTGTTGACGTGTCCCATCAGAGACTGGCTGGCCTATCACTACCCACCTGCCCACTGCTGCCACATGCTTGCTGGTTTCTACCTGCTCACTGGTGTCCACCAACCCCTCAGTACCCACCTGCCCACTGGCACCCACTTGCTCCACTGCCCAACTGTGCACACGATCCAGTCAGGAGCACTGTCCCACTGTGCTTATGGCCCTGCCAGTGCCTACCTGTCTGCTAGCACCCTTTACCTCCACCTCCCCACCTTTTCCAGTCCCACCTCCCTGATTGATGCCCACTCATACTTATCCTGACCAGCTGCCATCTTCCCCACCCAGCCTCCCGACAGACACCACCTGCCTGCACTACCCATCTTCCTCATCCCGCATCCCGATGGGCACCCTTCCCGCGCTGCCCCCTCCCCTGCCCGGTGCCCACCTGCCCGCTGGTTGCCGGGGGTGGCCACGACACGGGGTGCGTGGTGCTGCACGCGCCCATCCTTGATCTCGATGGTGAAGTAGGTCTTCATGCCGTCGAGGCCGAGAGCGGGGCCGGGGCCGGCAGGGACCGGGAGCGTGGCCGGGCGCTGCTCTGCACCGCCGCCGCCGCGCGCGTTTTGAGCGGGTCCCGGCGGGGCCGTGCGGGGCCCCCGCTGCCATTGGCCGGGCTTGGCCCGCCCCCCCG